TTTTATATCAACACCATGCTGTTTTTATTATTATAGCTCTGCAATACAATTTGAGATGGGGATGGTGAGACCCCCAGCAGTTCTTTTATTATTCATGTTTGCTTTGCTATCCTGGTTTTTTTGTGTGTGTGCTTTCATATGAAGCTGAAATTTTTCCTTTCTAGTGAAGAATTGTGCTGGAATTTTGGTAAGGATTGCATTGGGTCTGTGTATTGCTCTTGGTAGGATGGCCATTTTTATCATATCAGTCCTACTAATCCATGTGCATGGGACATCTTTCCTTCTTCTGATATCTTCTTCGGTATCTTAAGATATTTATTACACAAGTCCCTCACTTGCCTGGCTAGAGTTACCCCGAGATATTTTCTATCATTTGAGGCTCCTGTGAAAGGTTTGCTCCCTGATTGCATTGTCAGTCTGTTTGTCTGACACAAATATATATATATATATATATATATATATAAATATATATGAAAAGGCTGCATTTTTGTGAGTCAATTTTAGAGAAAGTTTCATGAGAAATGGGTGTATTCTTTTATGTTTGGGTAAAATGTTCTATAAGTATCTGTTAGGTCCATTTTTTTAAGACATCAATTGGTGTCAGCTTTTTTTCTTCGTTTTTTTTTTTTTGTTTGGTTGGTTTTTGCATGACCTGCCTATTGACAGGAGTAAAGTACTGAAGTTTCCCAATTTCACCATGTGAGGGTCAACATCTGATTTAACTTTAGTGGTGATTTGCTGCTGTTTTTGTTTGTTGTTATTTTTAATGAACTTGGGTGCCCTTGTGTTTTGTACATAGATATTAAGAATTACAATGTCCTCTTTGTGAATTTTCCCTTGGGTGAGTGTGTAGTATCCTTTCCTATCTTTTATGATTAGTTTTGGTTTAAAGTCTATTTTGTCAGATAATAAAATGGCTACATCGGCTCGCTTTTTGGTCCATTTGTTTGGAATATCTTTTGCCATCCTTTTGCCCGGAGGAGATGTCTATCCTTTATGTTAAAGTGTGTTTCTTGAATGCAGCAGAAATATGGATCCTGTTTTCCTGTTAGGCTGTGTGTTTTTTTTTTTTTGTTGGAGAATTGAAACTATTTATCTTGAGAGTTATCAGTGAGCTATGTTTATTGATTTCAGTTATTTGTTCTTGTGGTGTCTTCTCCCTCCCCTCCTTTTGATAGGCTTGTCCAGAATTATTTATTCCTTGTGTTTTCTTGGCTGTGATTAGCCTCTTCAGGTTAAAGTTTTCCTTTTATCACCTTCTGTAGGGCTAAATTTGTAGGTAGATATTCCTTAAATTTGCCTTTATTATGGAATGTCTTTCTGCATCTAATGTAATTGAAAGTTTTGCTGTGTCTAGTAGTCGGGGAGGGCATCTGCCGTTTGTCAGAGTTTATAGAGCATCTGTCAAGGCCCTTCTGGTGTTCAAGTCTCCATTGGGAAGTCAGGTGTAATTCTAATAGGTCTGCATTTATATGTGACTTCATCTTTTTCCCTTGCAAATTTTAATGTTCTTGCTTTGTTTGGCACATTTACTGTTCTGATTATTATGTGACATTGGGACTTTCTCTTCCAGTCCAGCCTTTTTGGTGTTCTTCCTGCTTCTTGTACTTTGATAGGCAGCTCCTTCTTTAGGTTAGGGAAATTTCCTTCTACGATTTTGTTGAAAAATTTCTGTGTCTTTAACCTGGGTTTCTTCTCTCCCTCTACTCCTATTATTCTTAGCTTTGGCCCTTTCAAAGTGTTCCAGGAGTGTTTTAGAGTTAACATTTTCTGTGACTGGCATAATCATTTTTTTCTCTTTGCCTTCAGTGACTGAGATTCTCTCTTCCATAACTTGTATTCTGCCAGTAAAGCTTGCCTGTAAGGTTCCTGTTCTAGTTCCTAAATTTTTTATTACCAAAGTTCCTACAGTTTGGGTTTTCTTTATTGATTCTACTTCCACTTTCAGGTCTTAAACTGTTTCACTCATTGCCCTCCATGGTTTGTGTTTTCATAGATTTCTTTACTGAATTTATTTGACTCTTTAAGTCCTCTACCATATTCATAAGGGCTAGTTTTAGATCTTTGTCTTGTGCTTCAGCTATGTTACATTTCTCTGCGCCTAGTGCAGTAGGGTTGCTGAGCTCCAGAAGAGACATATTACCCTGGCCATTAGTGATTGTGCCTTTACCCTGGCATCTAGGCATCTGAGTTTGAGATTATTGTAATTCTAGGTACCAGTATCTGGTCTTGTCGTTGTAGGGTGTGCACTTTGTTCCTTGGTTTCTGTTGTCCTTACTGGTTCTTAGGAGAGTGTGGTGGTTGTGTGGCTTGGCAGAGAATGACCCTGCCATGTGTGATCACTGAGGTTTCCTAGTACAGCGTGTTTGCAGGTATTGGGAGCTAACACTAGGAATGGGGGTGGGCTAGATGTGGGATCCACAGGAGGGAGGAAAGAAGGATGCTCCACCAGGATCTGCTTTGTTCAATAGAAACAGGTAATAGGGGCAAAAGAGTGAACAGAGTCCAGACCGGATAGTCTACCACAGATCTGGGGATGAGGCTGGGGGATTGGATTTGGAAGAGTGGCGGGAAAGTGAAGATCTAAGCTTACCTAGATGCTTAGCTGGCCTCTATGTTTCTATGACAGGCTGGCCTTGGCAATTCCCAGGGAATGCTTGCTGGCATTGAGTGCTGGGAAAACAGGATGACTGGGGAAGAAGGTTGAAGGAGAACATCCATGTGATCCCTTGGAGATGAGGGCAGGGAGGGAGGAAAGGCCGTGGCATGTGGTCTGCTACAGGGTGGGGATGAGCCTGGGAGATTGGATTTAGAGGAGAGGAGGGTGGTGAAAATCTGCAGTTAGCTAGCCTGGATAGCCAATAGGTTCTCAGGGAAAGCCTGCTGGAGTTGGGGGTCACAGTCCACTGTTTGATTAGGTTCTTTATAAATAATTTGGCCTTTCTCTCTGGCAGTTTTCAATACAATTTACTGTGCTTTTAATGTTTTAACTATAATATATCATGGTGTTTTCTTTCTTAGTCCTGTTTGTTTGGAGTTTTACAGGCATCTTTCTCTAGGTTTTAGAAATTTTATTCTATGATTTCAGTTTCAAATATTCTCAACTTTTTCATTATGGTATTTTTCTTCTATGCTTATGGCCCAAAAGTTGGGTCTTTTATTCCTAGAATATGAACACTCTTTTGTTTTCTGTTCAAGTTTCTTTTAAATGTATCATTTATTTTTACTGAGTGATCCTGCTCCTCTGTCTTGTCTTCTCCAGGATTCTTCTGTTTTCCACATCATGTGTTCTGTTTCTGCAGCTTCCCATTGAGGTTTTTACTTGGTTTATTGATTTTTTTTTTCTGGAAATGAAAAACTTAATAAACCAAATTCTATCTCCTTGCCATGCCTCAGACTGACTTCCTCATTTCCTTTATCTCCGATTTTGATCTCTTGGAGTATACTCATGTCCTCTCTAGATTGCTGCAAAAAGATTCCAATCATTCTTTTCAATTCTTAGTTTGACAGTTCTTCCCAGTCTTTTTCTTTTCTTTCTTTTTTTTTTTTTTAGGTGTTGTTATTATGGGATAGTGATTTTTAGAGGAAATACGTTGTTTGGATTTTCAGGTCGTCTCTGTGCTGGGACTGCAAATACGAAGTTAGTTCGTTAGTCAAACTTTTTTTTCTTTCATTTTTATTGTGAATTTTTAAAATCCTAGTCATTTTTTTTTTCTTGCACTGATGTTGTTTGCAGTGTTCAGTAGGGTTGAGGTGACTTCCCCTTAATAGGATTGGCATGTAGGATCAGAGACACTATCGGGAATCTTCCTATAGAGTCAAGTATTATTCTCTGTCACCTAGAACTGTCTTCTCCTGGTTGTCTTTTCCTGTGAGTTGTAAAGTTCTCCACACATCAGTGGGTCTTACTCAGAGTCAAATCTACTCCCCACCTGTTTCTGCAGTTACTACTTAACTTCAGAAAGTTATGGAGCTTCCCATGCCCCTGTGGGACTAACCAAGAGTTACATCTGGTCCCCACCATGGGTCTCTAGTTTCCTCTGAAGCTGCTGCAGAATATGGAACTGTCCAAACACCAACAGGTCTTTCCCTGGTTCGGGACTATTCTACCACCACTGCCATTACCGCCATCACCACCCTGCCCTGCTACCAAGGTTTGCAACAGCATCTGGAGATGCTGGGAGCTTCAAGAGTTTTGTGGGCCTATTAGAAACACCATGACAGCCTATTACAGTTTCTATTTGCTTGATAGCATGATTTTCCATTCTTGACTCTCATTTTTTTTAGTATTTTTCCTAGTTATGTGAGTTTCTTGGCAATAACAGGTGTTTGACTTGTGTTTCATAATCCAGTCAGTGTGTGTCTTGAATCGGCGAGTGAAGGTCATCAGAATATGAGGTTGTATTTGAAAGGGGTTTGCTGTTGCTGATTGTTCTGTCGGTTGTTGGCTTCTTCCTCTCCTAGTAGTATGGGGGTTAGTTTGTTTGCTGTGTTGAACATGGTTGATCTTTCCCTATTCTTCTCCGTTTCTCTGTTCCTTTCATGAAACATTTTTTTTTGTCTTTGTGGAAGAAACTGTACTCTTCTTCCTCGTGTTCTTCCTCTTCCTCCCCCTCCTATTGCCCCTCCTCTTGCTCCTCCTGTTCCTCCTTCACCATCCCCCTCTTTTTCCTCCTCCTCTTCCTCTTCTCCTCTTTCTCTGTATAATATTCTTTTAAGAATCCACTATAATTCTGGATTAGTTGTCATAAACTATCTTAACTTGTATTTGTCTTGAAATACTATTAATTTCCCATCAATTTTTGATATATGGTTTTGCTGAGAATAACAATCTTGATTTTTTTTTTTACTTTCAGGAATAGAAATATACTGTTTCATACTTTTCTATTCTTTTTTTTCCCTTGTTTCATTGATTCTTGGTGCTTTCACTGTATCGTGAATGCCTGATTTTAACTACACAGCAACAACAGACACCAGTATTTATTCTGAAAGGTGTGGATTCCAAGAAGCGGACATCAGCAACTTCCAACTCGGTCTCTAGAAATGATCCGCAGCTCTGAGCCATGTTTCAGAAAAACATTTCCAGCAGTCTGTGCAGGATTTATTCCTATTCCATCATTAGTAATAATTGCACTTGTTGCTGCAGGAACTTTAAATTCTTCCGCTGCAAACTTCAACACGGCCATGAACGGCGTACTTTCCAGAACACTGAGAACTTTGTATGGTAGCCGCGGATCCGACGTCAGTGTGATTTTAAAGGACACCTTCGACATGGTGGAGCCGCCGCACACACACCGCGCCTAGTCGCTCGCCGCGCTTCCTCGATCTACTTTTCTATTCTTTAGGACTGCTAGTGACATGTCTGATTATTTCATGTCTCTGCTTCTGTGTGGCTTAGTTTTCCCTTACAGCTTGTAGACTTGGTTTTTTGCCTTGTGTTTTGACATCTTAACTGTGATGTGTCATGAACAGGTCCTTCTCTGGTCAACCCATTTGGAATTCTGAATGTTTCCTATATATGAATAACTTTTGTGTGTGTGTGTGGGGGGGGGATTCTTGGCTACCATTTCATTGAATTGCTTGTCTAAGTCCTTTGACTTTGTCATACCTCCTGTTTTCCTATTATGTGGATTGTCAGGTTTGTATTCTGAATGTATCCCCAGTTTCTTGACAGCTTTCATCATGTTAATTGATTTTTTCTTTGTATATAATTATATGTATTATTGACTCAGCTTTACCCTTGGTTTCTAACATTTGTTCTTCTGCTTGGTCTCCCTGCTGTTGGTGTATTCTGTTGTGCTTTTGGGATGGACTTGTTCTTTAATTTCCAGAATTTCTGTTTGGTTCTTTTCTCAGTATCTTAATTTTTTTTTACCTCTTTCTTCAATGTTTTTATTTTTTTCCTCAAGGTACAAATTCTTTTGTCTATTTTAGAAAGACTCTTGAATTGATTTTTTAACTTTCTTGTGTAGGTCTTGAATTAATTTCCCCATCGATATTTTTAGAGACTTCTCCTTGGTCACGGGTCCTTTTGTACAGTTTTGTATTTCTACCATACGACCTATCTTTTGATTTATTTTTTTTTCTAATACTCCAACATCTTCTTTTATATGAATCTGGTTCTGGAAGGTGCTTTATCTTCTGGAGTGTGCTACCTGCCTGTATCTGGTCATAGGGATGGTGTGCTACCTGTCTGTATCTAGTCATAGGGACGATATAGGAGGTTGTATGTAAATCTAGCTGGGAACGGAGCTGTACTTTGTAATTTTGTTCGGCATGACTATGGAAAAGAGAGAGGTCAGTTTCATCTGCTCACCTAGTTTCATTTTTCCTTCTGTCATCTTTAGCTTTCCTGAGAACTCACTTTAAAGTAGTTTAGAGTTTGCAGCCAGCCATTTGGACTTCTATCGAATGTAATTATCCTAGAGTCCTACTGACCTGACGGTAAGATGCTGTGCAGAAGTCACACCGTAATCTTATGGTGAATCTAAATTGTGCTCACTGGCCTGAGTCTCTACACTGTGAATTTCTATATATTCGTAAGGTATTTTTCTCCTCTTATGTAAGACATGAAGGTTAGAGGTGTATGGAGTTAACAAATTCCCCTTTCCCAAATCAGATGAGATTCTGCTAGCATCCTTTGAGAGGAGCTTGCTTGTGCCTGAAAGAGTTTCCCCTAGGCATATTTCAAAAAAGATTCCCATCTTAAGCAGGAGTGAATTTGTCTTCAACGCTACATGCAAAACTCTGGTAGGACTTCAGGCTGTAAGATGTAGGAAAGTATGGGCATCTTCCTAAGACCAGGTCCCCAGAAGATTTAACTCTTCAATCATCCCTCACTGCGCCTTCAGAAGCATGACAAGACTGCAATCCAGTTGTTCCTGCCCGGAGCAGTCACAGTAGCTTCTGCCTCCAGTAAACTCATCTCTCTGATGGTCTCTCCACTTTCTCCTCTCTCCAGTTTTCAGGATGGAGGAGGGTTTTCCTGTAATCTCAGTTCTTCTGTCTCTTTTAATATCTCTTCCTTTCTACTCTTCATCCTCTTCAACAAGAGCAACCTGAATGCACACCCAGGTTCTATGGACACAGCCATGTGGGTATAAAATGACTTTCTTGCATTCAGTTAAAATTCATTCAACCCTCAGAGAAATGAAGATAGACAGATTGTCCCTGACATGTTCCCAGTGTAGAATGGCATACTGTTTATTAATCCTAGGGAACTCTTCAGCTATGGTATTTCCCCTGTCCTTCATGTTCTGTCTCCTCCAAACAGCTTCTCGTGATCATTCCATGTTAAATTGCAATTTTCTTCTGCAAGCTTCTGTAATCTTTAGAAAACGTGAATCTACAAAAGCACTTCTTATTATGGATCTTAAGTCTTATTTTCTTCCTGTGGGCTGAGTCTTCACATAGTTCAGTGTTTTATCACCTGCAATAGCAAGTGTTAGGTAGAATGTTGAAACCTCTCTCAAATCTGGGACCACCCCACAAATTCTGAGATACTAAGACACAGATGATAGATAGGCAATATAGAATGACAGATGATAGATAGATAGATAGATAATATAAAAAGACAGATGAAGATCAATCAATCAATAGATAGATGATAGATAGATAGATAGGCAATATAAAAAGACAGATGAAGATCAATCAATCAATAGATAAATGATAGATAGATAGATAGATAGATAGATAGATAGATAGATAGATAATATAGAAAGACAGATGATAGAAAGACAGATAGATAGACAGACAGACAGATAGCAGATAGATAGGTGACTCTCTGAACATCATCTTGATGTGCTGATTTTTTCTTTTTCCCTTTCTTTCCTTTTTCCTCCCTCGTCCTCTTTCCCTCCTTCCAATTTGAGAGTATCTTCAACTAAAAACAAAATACTCTGAGCTTGCGGATATAAACAAAAGAAGGAAAAAGTCAATAAATGTTAAATTCTGAAGGTTTCATATTTAACTTAAGGCATTGTTTATCCATATTTACCTTTCTTTACAAAATGGCCCATTTCTTTTTATCTCCTAGTACTCCTGTGTGTTAGGAAAGACTACTATGGTTTTGTCTCTTCTGTGAGTGCAGAGGAACTCAGACTCGCCAGCTGGCACAAAGTTGTTACTCAGCTGCTGTGCACGGGATGCAATTGGTAGAGGCAGTCAGCATGGAAGCTCACAGAAACTTGCAAACAGAATTATAGAATCAAAAGTGTTTGTAAAAGTGTGTGTTCTGTTTATTGATTGAAAACAAAGCTAAACTATTTACATACAGAACAGTTCCTGGAACTGTATTCTAACATAATGAGATTTTATGTTTTTCTGTTAAAAAATAAAATAAAATCAGTGAAATTTACTGCTATTCGGGAAATTGGTTGCAAATTAGACTTAATGGCACACCGTGCTTGGTGTGTTACAAAACAACTTAAATCCAGGCGTGCATAGGGATCCCAGAGGCATCCGGAACAACACAGACTATTGCCATTGCTCTTGGCTGCCCACTAGAACTAAACAGTCAGAACCTGTTGCTGAAGACAGCACACAGTCTGGGTGTAGAACACAGGCAGATCCAGATGGGACTGAATCAGATGCTTACTCCCTGATGGCTAGCATGCATAGTGCCAGAAGGGAGCGAGAAGAAGTGATGGGGGGAGAAAGGTTCACCTTCCTGTACCCTGGCTGCACAGCACAGGCCTGCCAGGAAGATACGGGCACTAGTGTACTAGTGACCTGACAGCTGCCGGTAACCAACCATTCTCTGATTGGATCTGAGGCCAGCTTATGGGATAAATACTTGCCTAGACTGTAAGCCTGGTCAAAGTCCATCAGTGTGGAGGTCACAGGTCCCAAAGGGAAACCTAAAAGACATGTAGTCAAACTGCCTTCTAAGTATTTATATCTTTACCTATAGGCTAGTGCTGCTCTCAGCCTTGGTTGTCTTATTGTAGTTGGTGACAGTTAAGCCAGGAACACACACCACACACACACACACATACACAGCCGAACTGATCAGAGTGCTAAGAATAAGCAACTGTTGGGTACTCCACCCTATGGTACATCTGTGTCACTCTCTCTAAGGCCCAGGAGTCAATGCAGAGCAGGGAGCAGAGAGGGTGTAAAAGACAAAGGAGGGAGTGGAGCCTGTAAAAGACTGTCTGCTGGATATGGTGTGGCAGTTGCAGTCATGACCAGGTAGTAGCTGTACCTGTCAATAACCAATAAACAGGAAGAGGATTAGTTGGGGTCAGCAGGAGTAGGGAGTTAAGAGAGGGTAAGGTGAATAGGATAGCAATACATTGTATGCATAGATGAATGTGTCAAAATTTTTAAAGTAGGGTAGAGTACAAAAACTAGAACATCCGGGTATGGGTATGTATACCTGTAATCCTAGCTACTCAGAGGGCTGAGGCAGGGGGATACACTAAGCTATGAGTTCAAGACCAGTCTCAGTAGAATGATAAATCTTTCCTCTCAGGGGTGGTGGTTCAATGCCAGCTTCAAAGGGACAGTTTCTTGATTTGGCCACTTATCTCTCCTCCAAAACTTTCCACCTATAATGAAACAATACTTTTTTCTCTCTGTGCCCGAACACTGCAATTCCTCTGCTGCTTCCAGCATCTCATGAATATGCAGCCCATGGAGAGTTGGTTTCTGCCTGGCACCCCTAACCAGGCTCTACACCTTTTGCCTTTGTCTCTCGAACGCTCACTCCACTGTCCTCCCGATTGTCTCACTCCACCGTCCTCCCGATTGTCTCCCGATGACAGAGCACCAGTGACACTTTGAGAAAGTACTTTCCAGAAAATTATGATTTTCCCCGGTGTGTGTCAACAGGAAACTGGGGGATTTCTATGAATATGGACAGCTGGGATAAAAGAGGGATGGCATCGGGTTAGACTGAATTTGTGCACACCAGTTTACAAAGAAGAAATCTGTTGCTCTGGATAGCGTGTGCTAACCCCAGTGGCTGGAGTAGCTTTCACATTTTTCACGCTTAGTTGCTTTAATCCTAAAGCCTAAATTGCCCTACACTAAATAAGATTTAAGCTGTGCTTTCTTGGTTTACTGTAGAAAAAATTATCCAGTGGAGGAGGAGAGTGTCTGTCAGCTCTTTGGTACAATAACAGATAGCCTCAGAAAATCAACTTGGGCAGATGAAAAAATTGTTTGGGCTCTTGATCGCAGAGGATTCAGCCCAGGGTCACCTGAGCCCATTGCCTTGAACAGCTTGGGGTGGGAAAGCATTGTCACTAAGCAATGAAAACCTCTCACAGGCTGACTCAGGAGGCTACTATGAGTAGCCT